AATTTTATTTTCTGGTCTCTATGAATCTGATTATTCTAAGTACCTTAGAGTAAGTGGAAGAACACAATAGTAGTTCTTTGGTGTTGAGCTTATTTTAGTTTTATCTTTTTTTATTTTTTTTCCTGGCACCAGGGATCAAACTCAGGATCCTGTGCTTGGGACACAGGTGTGGCTCCACTGAACTAAATGCCCAGCCCCTTTTTTTGCCTTTTTTCTCTCAGTTTAATGTCTCTAGGCTTTGTCCAAGTTGAAGTAGGTGTCAGAATAGTGAAGATTTATTTTGCATTCTTTATTGTAAACTTATTCACTATAAAACTTCCAAACTAGTAGCTGTGGAAATTTTGCTTCACTGAGAAACTTCAACTCCAGATCACTGAATAGGAAAAGGACTGTTCAAGTCATAACATCTGAGTGATGATGAAGTCTACTTTGTTTTCTTGCATTGCTATTTCGGATGTTTATACTACGTTACTCTTTCTCACCATCTCATTTACCACATATTTTTGTTATCATCTTTACCTTTAATCTCTTTCATCTACTGCCTCTGCCAGAAAATAAATTCCATGAGGATATGAGTTTATTTTTTGTTTTATTCCTTGATGTATTCTTGGTTCTTAGGACTGTGGCTGCTACACAGTAAGGAGTCAACAAGATTTGTTGAATGAATGAAGAATGAATGAATGAGTGGTATTCAAATGTTATCCACCTTGTGCTTACTGGGTAGCATTTCAAAGGATTCTAGATATGGCTTTTTTTTAACATCTCAAGCCCAGCCTGTGCAACTTATTAACTTAGTGAGTCCTTCTCTAAAAAATAAAAAGTAAAAAAAGGGGTGGGGTGGGAATGTAGCTTAGTGCAAAGGTTCTGGGTTCAATCCCCTATATTGTATTGTTGTTGTTATTTAGTTTTGGGAGATAAAAGAAAATAGAAATGTATTATGCAAATATATATATATATATATACACACACACAGAATTTTGTTTCCCTTTCACTGTGTTATCACTAAAGTGGTATTGTGTAAAACAAAAACAAAAACAAAAAAACTACATTGAAACGTAACCTTAGGGAGGAAAAATTTAAAAAAGACTTCAACTTTAGAGGTTGAATCACCAATCGTCACAAAAAGAGAAACTCATCAAATCACATTCTAAAATAAGCATGTTATGGCTTTCTCTCAAGACAGCTATTTTAGTGCGGTCAATATTCAGTCTATGTCTGCAGAATCTCTGTCTCTGTCTTTGTCTGAGACATAAATTCTGAGTTTTTAAAATCACAAGAACTTGAAAGGATTGCTGTAACTTAGGAGAAAGCAGGGAAACTTGACTCTGCAGAGTAAAGATGATGTCCGGAAGCATTCATAGCCTCTCACTTTGTTGGTTTCCTTTTCCTTTTCTTGGATTTTAGTAAGGATATAATCTCAGTTCCAGTTAGAAGGAGGAAGCACAATACCGGGTGTCAAATCCACAAATCAATCCTCTCCTTAATTGCTGAAGTTTGACATGTTCCCATGTTTGTCTCAGAAAACTCTAAATACTCTTTCATTAGCAATGGGGAATTAAATTTCCTATGTAGACAAATTAACTTCTAAATTATAAGAGAAACAAAAACATGGGGGTGGATGCAGCCCCTTGTTCCAACCTGAAGTTCGCAAGTAATCTCTTCCCACTTCCTTTTCACCTTCATCTTCTCTAGACTCTCCTGTGGGCACCATTCCAATTGTTACCCAAGCATAGATTTGACCCATAACTCTCAAAGATATCTCAGTACCCTAATTAAAGTGGAAGAGGTTAAAAACAAATGATGGTTGAAGAATGTTTTAAAACATACCACAACTCTGTAGAGGAATTCTTGAAAAGGAGAATTTCATAGGATTAAAAATTTTATTTCGTTTTCAGTAAGACATGCCTTTAAAAAACAACAACATAGGGCTGGGGATTTAGCTCAGTGGCACTGCGCCTGCCTCACAGGCGCACGGTTCTGAGTTCGATCCCTGGTGCAAAAAAACCCCACAAAAATAAAAAAAGCAAAAAACAACATAGAAGGTTGTGAATTAGCTTAGGATAAAAAGACAAATTAATGAGTGCAAAATATATTTTGTAGATAACCAAATTCATGGACCTTTTGCATTAAATTTTATGCACTCAAAGCTAGCTCACAGTGGGGTTTATATCCAGTATCTCCCTGTGAAATTGGCAATGTCAAAACCTGCTCCTCTTTCTCTCTGCCTACACTCTCATTCTCGCACACACCTCAAATTATGTGAAAGGTGACAAAATAATCTCTAAATGTTTAATTTATATTCAAAAATAAATATGCCCACATATTCATTTTAGCATTTTTTTGAATGGAAAAAGGGGAATGATGCAAAAATATCAAAATTGTATAGGAAGTTATAGATCATCATTCTCATCTAAGCCTCAAGCAGACAAGGTAAACACTGTACAATGCAAAGAAAAACTGTGACCATTTGACTTCCACTCACACTGTTCCCTATGTATAAGAAAGACCAGATGTCTGGTTTCCAGAGTAGTAGGATTCTTCCTTAGTACTTAAAATTGACAATTTTGAAGTTCAGAAGAAAATGGCAGTGCCTTCTGATCTTTAGCACTTTATAGTTTAATAATTTCATAGACCAGAAGTTTCAGAAGAAAGTAGCTTTCAACATTTATGCAGTCAAAACAATCCAAGAATTTGAAAAAAAAAATCTCTGAATTAATTTTATTTTGAAAGCTGTATTATTCTAAAAAAAATAAAAAACAACATAGTTTTTATTGCAGATAGCCAAGTGGGTCGAATGTATTATAGTAGTTACACTGATTTAGAGCAGAAGGTATGAATAGATGGTATTTCTTCTTCCTTGTCTGATTTCTACTAATGGTAGAAAAAAACCCATACTTTATATATGTTATTCCTCCCAGGAACTGATGTTTGGAAATTCATGTAAAGTTAATTTGCCATGAGGAATATAAAGCCCTTTAATGGGCTATCCAGGTCCCTGTGGGAATTTTTTTTTTTTAAACAGACACCATGTGTTGCAATCTGCTACAGTCTATAAGGCAGGGTAGGGTAGGGGAGCTCTGGAGGGGCCAGGAATAAAGTCATTTCCAGGAGGTTTTTAAGTATTAACTAAAATGGGAAAGATGGTACAGCTGAAGCCTGAAAATACCTTCACTTCTGCTTTAATTGTAACCCAGGGTATATTATACTTAAAAGAAAAAAAAATAGCAAGTTAGTCAATTTAGGAGAGAAAAAATCCAAACCTTTTCTGAGATGGTTAAATTGCCATTCGTTTTGTATTTTAATCTAACCTACTGGTGATTTAATTCACAGATCTGAAAGGAAGTGTATGCTCAAATATTTGAGGACGTTAACATTATCAACCACTGTTTAATTTTGGAATGTGCCTACTTGCTTGACACAATATTTTACCAGCTAACAAATGTTTAGCCTTTTTTTTACTTAAGAGAAGTTTCACATTGCTTCATTCACCTTCTTATGTGCATATGCTGGGAAACATTGGATGTTTAAAAAACAACAACTTCCTCATGTTCCTTTCTACTACATCTAATCTGTTTACCAACTCAAAGCTGCTAAAAAAGCCCACATTCTCCTGCTATGTCAACTGGATGGCTAGAAACCAAACTGTAATGTAACAGGAAAAAATTTATCAATTTATTTTCATGACAGAACATTCTTGAGAAGGTATAAAATTATTCTGGCTGCTATACCAGTTTCCTTATTTCTTCCTTTTGGTCTTCGTTTTTAAAAAGGCTTTCAGTTTTTAAGCTGATACTTTTTATAGTTATATAACAGTTCTAATATTTTGTGACATTTTGTATTGACACTATGGATGAAATTGTCATTGGACTGACACCCTGTGCTGTTTATTCCTTAATTACAAGTGTTAACACTGTAGAGAAGTGTGCTAATCTGCCAGCATGTATTATGAAAATGCTATTGTTACCCACACTGCCATCCACTCAACAGGATATTTCTAAGATGGTAGTTTAAGGGAACTTACGACCACAATGGATAGTTTTTGTTTCAAGATAATTTTATTTGTGGTAGTGGTATTTTATTTTTTAGCTTGGCCCATTGTCTTCTTTTAAAAACGCCAATCAGGGCCGGGGATTTACCTCAGTGGTTCTGCCACCTGCCTCACAAGTGCAAGGTCCAGAGTTCGATCCCCGGTACCTCCCCCCGCCAAAAAAACAACAAAAATAAACACCAATCAGTTTGCAATTTAAAACAATTCATTGTAATATAGCATAGAAATACTTTTATAACAGAAGCTGACTTTACATTATCATGTTTTTCTCCAGTGGTGGTCTGAGGAATCTTTAAAGTTGTTCAGGGATGTGACCCAAAGCTTTCTGACAGTTTTTTTCAGAAATAGTGAAAATAGAAGGGAGAGGGAAGAGCAAGTTTAAAGACGAAAAGACTAGGGAGGAGCTATTAGCATTCACAGGGGTGGCAATCCTTAAATAGCCACGTTAATGTCCAATAACCATCCGTAGCTCTAATAAATAGGTCTCCTTTTCCAAAATCAAGTGTGAGCCTTCCTGAAACCAGCTACTTATGGAATGCTTTATAGTTCTGGTCTTTCCATCTTTAGAACTTTCAGAGGTTTGATTATCTGTGAGGCACAAAATCCTAGGAATCTATTTTCTGATAAGTATTAATACTGTATACTAAAGCAGCTAAGTGTCACTGTCTTTTCACTTGTTAAAAGAAACTGTAATGAAAAAAAAAAGAAACTGTAATGGAAAGCACATAATAACCTAGATCCTGCACCTTGTCCACATAATAAAATGGCTAAAGATTCTTTTTTAATTTATTTTATTTTTTTTGGTACTGGGGATCGAACTCGGGACCTTGCGCTTGCGAGGCAGGCAGTGGAACCACTGAACTAAATCCCCGGCCCTAAGGATTCTTAACCTAAAATCTGAATCAACTTGTTTAGATGAGAATGACAATAAATATTTTAAACAACACACACACTGATTTAATAATATATTTAATAATACTTTAATATTAACTTTTAACAGTTCCCATGGGTATGGTAGAAAGCAGATGATGACCCTGAATGGTAGAGATGATCAGAAACTTCTCAATAGATTCTCATATCTTCATTGTCATTTAGAGATAATGAAACAATATCAACATATTCAATTCCTAAAGTTCCTGCAATTACCCACAAGTTCTTTAATATTCAGCTTCATTAAGGAGGTTTTTAAGATAGCATATGAAGAAGTTATCATTATGCCTCATTTAGAATGGTGTTTTCTGCTTCATTCTGATGTTCAACACCAATAGGATATGGTGCTTGTCGTAAGAGAAACGGTTCCCATTTGGGAATATACTTTTCTACTGATGCCCAGTAACGAGTCTGGAAAAAAAAAATCCAAGAGTAAAAAAGCGTATCAAGCAATTGAACTTGGCTCTTCATAATAGTCTAAATGTTTATTCCCTTAAGTGTGTGTGCGTGCGTGTATACACACATATATGTAGAATGCATTTCCTCTACAGAATATTTTATGTTAATTTTAGAAAAAAAATCTGGCTACTTACTAGTGTTAATTCTCAATTTCTCAGTAAAACCAGAGCCTGGCAGAATTACAGGTTTTAGAATTTTATTGTGACTTTACACGCCCTCTTGTGGCCAACCTTGTGATTATTGCCAGTGGTATCATTTATGATTATAAATCATTAAATATTTTTATTGTCCCAGATCCCCTACCAAATGGTTACCTACAATGAAATTATTACAATACAATGATTAGACCCGAACAAATTCTTCATAATTAACACACAGTGATTTGATGTAGGGTGAGATTAGGAAGGGATACCTAACCAGTATGTTATAGTATAGGACCCTTAGGAATGTGCAAAATATGTATTCACTACATTTTTTAAAGGCATACTTGATAGGCCAGGTGTGGTGGTGCACAACTGTAATCCTAGCATTTGGGAGGCTGAGGCAGGAGCATTGCCGTGAGTTTGAGGCCAGCCTGGGCTACACAGTAAGCTCAAGACCAGCCTGAATAACACAGCCACAACGACACCACAGCAAGACCAACCCTGTCTCAAAAACAAAAAAAACAAAAGTTGATAGGACACATTCATTTTTCTCAAATATCTTTGTGTGATGAGAAAATATCAGTATAATATAAACATTTTTAGTACAAATGGCTTGGAATGTAAGGTGCTGTATTCCCATTGATCTGACCTTAGTGGTCTGTAAGGTATAAAAGTTCATGCAGTGTCACCATGCCATGGGTAAGGAGCTTTCATTTCTTGGGTGACTGTCCTAAGGCAGCCAAAGAGAACTATATTGCCAAAATTCTTGTGTCACAGGAAAGCATTTTATACTAGATCAACACTATCAACCCCACGTGGGAAATTCAGCCAATGAGTTACATTAAGAACACAGAATTATTCCCTGGGAATTTAAAAGGTACAGCAGTCAGACAGTTGAAATGATAAGGATTCTAAATGTCTATACATCTATGCATGTGGTGTGAGAAACAGCCTAACCTACTTAAAATAAAGGTCATCCTGCTATGCAAGACTAGTTAAGAAAAATACCTTGGAGGCCTGGCTGGGAGTTTTTCCACTATTCACAGCTGGACTAACCCCTATTGTGTGGGCCCTTTACATGCCACAGTAAGGTGTTAGAGAACTGAACAACGATGATGACATGACCAAGGCACAACTGTCTTCAATCACTGCTTTTTCTTACTACCCTAGATGACAGAAAATTGAGGAGCAAATTCCTAGCCTTTAGTTTTCAGTCTATTCATATGCACAGCAGGGCGTGAAACAAAATTGTATTTGAAAAAAGGTCATTAAAAATATAAAAAAACCTATTCTGTATGTAGTAAATTCCCACTCTCACAGACACATATACCAAATATGGTTTGTTTTTGCCAACCAGTTTCCCAATCTGTTCTCGAACTTGGCTAAATAAAACAGACAAAAGCCACACTATATTGTATAATAATATGCATTTAAATAACTGGTTACATTTTGTGAAGGGACTGAATGCTACTTCTAACAGCTCTAAGAGAAAAAATACTTTGGGCATGCTGTCACCTTAAGACTTGAAAGTACATTGTTGTTAGTGTGATGAGGGGAAAAACACAACATGTTATAAAATTATCACTAGATAAATTTTTCTTTCGAGATACTAATTACCTGCTACATATAAGACATAGTACCTGTGGACATATAAAAAGATCAGTCAGAGCTGGGCACAGTAATTCTAGGTACTTGGAAGGCTGAGGTAGGAAGATTGCAAGTTCGAGCCCAGCCTGGGCAACTTTGGGGAGACCCTGCCTGAAATAAAAATGGGTTGGGGATGCAGCCCTGCACTTCTGGATTCCATCCCCAGTACCACAAGAGAAAAAAAAATCAAGATAAACTCATCTTATTTATTTTACTGAATAAGTAAACCTGGGAAATAGACATATGACCAGTGTTTGAATCACAGTGCACCACTAATAGGTTAGGGTCTGTCTAGTTAGATTTATTCCCTAAGAGTCTCACCTCAAGAGAAACCACTTCAGGCGGTGGATGTGGGCGAATCTTGCTCTGTAGAGACTTTTCAGCTGCTTCTATGTCCTGGAACAGATAGGAGCATTTAAAAATAAAAGTGTATTTATAATTACAAATGATACCTGTAATACCAGTATCTGTATCCCAAATCTTTCACCTCAGCTCTTCTCTATAATTAGTTTGAAATGATGGAAGGACAACAAGATAGGAGAACTGACCTATAGTTCAATTAATCCACTTCTACGGAAGTGGGTGCCTTACTTTAAAATAGAAAGGGGCTGGTACTTCCATGTTTTGCCTCTTCACTTTGAATTGCTGGCAAATATGAGAAATTCCTGCAAAAAGAGCCTCATTTAAAAATGCTCAGAGCATTAACCAGCTTTAAAATTACCTCAAAACAACCAGATGGATAAAATAATTAAGTACTGTATTCAGATATAAAAACATGCAGGTACTCAGCCCCACACTGTGCTCACCATAAAAGTGAAGAGTTCTAGTCTCTCCAAATGATGCAAATGGTATATTGATAGCACACAATCATTTGTTCAACAACCCACTTTTCAATTTTATACTTATTTAATGACAAGAATCTTTTCACTAAACTATTTAAATTTTTAGAGTTAAATTTCTATGTTATTTTTAATAAGTAAGTTTTATTGCTAGGTAATATCCTTCAGCTGTTGCTATTCAATCACCATGTTTTAATTTGTAGTTTCACTTGCAGATGCATCTATTTTCTCTTATGGTTGTAAAAACACTGTAAACTTAAGGTATAATTTTTAACTTGATACATGTATAGCACACATGCCCAGAAATATAGGACTCTGTAAATTTTTACAAAAATATTTGAGTCTCGTTTAAGAAATACTTCCCAAATAGTACCTATGTTGTCTTTTTCCCATTTATTATGTTCTATCAAGTTCATAGGGGCCTTGGCCCAAAGCTATGTAAATTTTGTTTCTCCTCTGAGCTTAGTGAATTGACAGAAAAGAGAAAGTTCTCTTGATCTATACACACACATTGGAGCAATCTAAGTAGAGGCTGTTGGACAGACGGAGAGAGATGGAAAAGGGCGTGGGAGTGGGGTGTGAAGAAGCCAGTGCTGAACAGGAGAAAAAAGACAGCAGATGGTACCGGCAGGAGCAAGGAATGGGTGTGAAATGTAAAAAGGAAAAACAGGAAATTCCCTAAAGGGACTCCCCAAAGTTGCACAACCATTAATGCACCTGCTGTCTGGAGGAAGGTGATTTGAAGGAAAAGAACATGTCAATTTAGGGATTAAAACATGGATCTATTAGCATGTCTATCCCATACCAGAAGTTTATGGCTAAGACACATGCTAAAGAGCATTTGATGCCAACGCTGCAACAGACACAGAAGACTAACTCTTCTGTTATTACACTGAGATTTTACAAGGTCCTGGAAAAATTAATTTTTGCTTTCAGAAATCACATAAATACAACAGAAAGAAAATAATCACACCTTCAATTAAGCCAATATTCTAAGAACAGTTACAAAGTTATTGTTAGTGGCTGATCTAGGTGTCATGAGCACTGAAGAAAACATGCTGTTTTTCTTAAAGATCAGAAAATAAAAAGATATTGAAGAATATCTCTTATAGAAGAGCAGATTTGCCAACAAAAGAAGCAGATACAGGCAGGGACATGTGGCTTGGTAAAGCAGGCTGTTGGTGAGACACTTGACTGTCATTTCTATAGCATTGTGCCCCAAGATTACCACATCTCTGAAAAACTTCCTTAGCATCAGTGTTATGTCTCTTCTTACATGTTTTGTGTAGTACCTCTCGTTCTTACTTCTTTTTAGTTAGCTCATTTTTCTTTCCAAGTGTGGGCTTTGTTAAGATCTCTGACATCTGTTTTCATATTTTTACTTTATCTCCTTTCAAACTTGTCTCTTAACTAGCTTCAACTATAACTGTAGAGGGATAGCTAGCTAACCTTTCTTCCTAACCCTTATCTCTCAACCTAATAAAACTAGGCTCATCATCTTCCTACTGGATGAACTGAATGAATCATGGTAGGAATTCTATTCACCCAGATACCTATGCTCCATCCTTTCTTTAACTCTTCTTATTCCCTGTCAGTTAAAATTTCTAGATTTCTAAAATTTCTTTCTAGATTGTTCCTTGAGGATACCCATTCTAGCATTTTCTTTTCATTCCCAGTGCTACTGTCTTATAACTATATTCAATCAGTAAGGACTTAAGGAGTGATTATTCTGACTGATGCCAAGAATATATCTCATTGTACTTCATTCCATATTTATCATAGGATTGATTATTTGAAAGAACTAATTTAAATATGTTCTTCCCTAGACTAAAAAATTGATACTCAGTACACAGAGGATGAAAGTGTGAATTCCTCAGCCTGCCTGGCAAAAACAAACAAACACATTCCTAAATTTGCTTGCCATTCTGAGAAGCATGATGAAATCTTCTGACATCTCACTCTGTCTTGCCTAGGACATGGCTCATCTTTGGTTCACTGTATCCAGTATATATGCTACATGTCCATTAGTCATTTAGCTGTTGTCTGGGTTATAGATGGTCACAGTATCACGTGTCCATGTAATCCTTATTTTGTAACCTACTACTATGTCACAATGTCTCTATCACTTACTTCACTTCATCTCATTATACAGGTACTGTATCATCTCACAGCACAGTGTGAGTATGGAACAATAAAATATTTTTAGAGGGAGACATATTCAGTTTTTATTACAAAATATTGTTATTGTTCTACACTATGAGTTACTGTAACAAACTAATTGTGCCTAATTTTATAAATTCGGCTTTAGTATAGGTTCATATGTATATGAATAAATAGTGTATATAGGATTTAGCATTATCTATAGTTGTTGGTCTTCACTGGGTCTAATTTTGGAATATATCTCCCACTAAGGTGGAATTACTCTACATAGCTATGTTGGTGTTGGATAATCCTTTGGGAACTGTTATTTTTGGTAGAAGTTACACACATGAGATCAATGGCTTTAAGTGAGGAACTTTGCAATCCTATAATGAAATTTAAGGTACTGAAAGGAACTGATATTTTATCTTAAAAAAAAAAACCAAAAGAAGTTGCAATAAATAGTCCTAAATACCCAGATTGAGAGCTCTAAATATATTTCCTGCTGAAAGAAATGAAAGAAAGATATGACCAATTCTAGGTCTGGACAGCAAATGTACCCAATGAGCCTTGAAGAACTCATCATATCACAAGGGAAACTATCAAAGACTGTTAGAATCATGTTGAAGACATTCAGGCCTGACTTGAAGAAGCTTCCACTTGACAAAAACGAGACAATTTGAATATAAGTAAAAAACTGCAAAAGATTGAAACATTTCAAATTCCAGATAAATTAAAAACAACACCTCACTGGTCCATCCTTAGAGGATGCTAGAGAATCAACCTATTATTTTGAAAACTGTAGGGCAGTGATGGTGAACCTTTTAGAGACAAGTGCCCAAACTGCAACCCAAAACCCACTTATTTATTGCAAAATGCCAACACTGCAATTCAACATGAATACTGAGGCTGTAGTTTAGAAAAAACAACTAATACATTAACATCTTTTGTCTTAAAAGAAAAACACAATAACACATGCCATAGGTTTGCCACCACTGCTATAGGGTCAGAGGTGTAGCTTAGTGGCAGAGAACTTACCTAGCATGTGTGAGACCCTGGATTCCATCCCCAGCACAGAAGAAAAATAAAAACAAAGCCAGCCAACCAACCAAATGAAAAAGCAAGTCAATATAAGGAAAAAATCAAGTATTCGGCATACTTTTTAACTTGAGAACTGTACTTCACTATAACTAAGTAATTGATAAAGGGAAGATTCTCTTCATATATTAATCACCAATTGAGAATAAAAACAATTTGAGTGTAACTTTTTGCCACCTCTAATGCATATATCTAGGCAATTATCATCAATGACTGCCCATATTCCAGAAGGAGAGGCCTCTACCCATTATGGAACTGTTTTTCCCTAAAACACTGAATCTGATGGGGCCTCTAGATCTGTATTGTTAATGTGCTAGCCAGTGGTAATGAACCTATGGCACACGTGTTATTTGTTTTTAAGACAAAAGATGTTAATGTATGAGTTGTTTTTTCTAAACTAAAACCTCAGTATTCAGGTTTAGTTGCAGTATTAGCACTTTGCAGTAAATAATGTGGGTTTGGGTTGCAGTTTGGGCACTCATTAATTAAAAGGTTAGCCATCACTGCCCTAAGCATTCACTTCTGTGACTACTGAGAGCTCAGACTTGTGGCAAGTCTGAGTTAAGATATGCTTAAGTGTAAAATACACATGGAACAGTGAAGGCTCAGTGAGAAGAAGAGAGTTTTTTTTTTTTTTGGTACTGGGGATCGAACTCGGGTCCTTGTGCTTGCGAGAGAAGAGTTTTTATAGCAAATATTTGAAATAATTTTTTATGTGTCTTATTAAGCATTATTTTTCACATAATGTCAAATGTATTAATCTGTTTCTTTTGTCTTTGTTAAGAGCAGTTAGTAGAACACTTAGGTCCCTGGTTGTCCTGGGTGGCAGTTTGTTGAGGGCTCTGTTTAATGGCCACCTGTCCCACAAAGGCATCCACATCACTCATCAGTGGGCAGCATTTCTCTTATTTTTTCTCAGCCTAGAGTATTTATCTGTTTCCCCCATAAGATGATGCCAGGAGATAAGAAGGGGAGAGAGATCACTGTTTATATTGTAGAAATATTTATAGAAAGAAAATCCTTTCTCTTCCAAATCCATACCAATTATGTTTGTTTTTTAAAGGCAAATAAATTGCATTTAACACTAATTGGGAAAAAATTATTCAACTTGTGTGGTTTTTTTTTCTTTCTTTTTTGGTGGTGCTGGGGATCAAACCTAGGGTCTCACACATGCTAGGAAACTGCTATATTACTAAGCTACATCCCCAGCCAGTTCATATCTTTTATGACATTTCTTGACTGACGTCTGTGAGGTTTCTTCCCTACTTATAATCCTAACCATTTATTAATATGGTCAAGTATTTGATCAGATTAGTTATTTATTTATTACTTCTTTAAAAAAAATTTTTTTTGAGTTGGGTATGGTGGTGGAATGCCTGCAATCCCAGCACTCTGGGAGGCTATGGCAAGAGGATTCCAAGTTTGCACCCAGCCTGACCAACACAGAGTATTAAGACTCCTTCTCCAAAGTACAAAATAAAATGGGCTGGGAATGTAGCTCAGGGGAAAGGCCCTGAATTCAACCCCCCGTTCTGCTAAAAAAGAAAACACATGATATTCTCACTTATTTATTTTCCCACATGAATTTATAGAAATTTTATTACTTTCCATGAAAATTCTGTTGAGATTTTTAAAAAAATCTATAACTTTGTGCAAAATGATTTTGGAAAAATAACACTCTCTGTATTTAGGTTTAAGACATGTCTCAAGTTTTCTTTTTTTTGGTACCAGGGATCAAACTCGGGTCCTTGGCTTGCGATGCAGGTGGCAGAACCACTGAGCTAAATCCCCAGCCTCAAGTTTTCTTTTACAGCTCACATTTTAGTGAAGTAAGTATCTTTACACTATTATAAATAAACCTTAAGAGCTTCCCAAATATCTTAGAACTTATTACTAATGTGAATCTGATGTTTTGTATTTTCCAGCTGTGTACATAAGATTCAACTCAATATTTGGTCTTACAAAGATATAATCATATAGTATAAAATACTAGTTTTCTACTTTTTTAAAAGTTAAAGCTTTTAATGTTTATTATATTGCTCAGAAGATCTAAACAAGTCAAAAATGGCTGGTAAAAAAAAATGGATCCTTATGTTGTTATTATTGTACTATTACTGTAAGTTTTAATGGAACTGTTTTTATAAAATGTGACCAGTAGTTCTGAAGTACCTATCCTAGGTGTAACTTAATCTATTCCTGAAGGAGTAGTTACCATGTGGTTTCCTCATGTTTAAAGAATTAGCCCAGATTTGTGTTTTTCACAGTTCTTGAAGCAACAGCTAGGCAGCGAGGAAAGGCTGAATGGGTGGGGTTTTGGACCAAATCAAGTCCATTCCTATCTATCTTTGGTAAAACATCTTAATACTAAAAACTTTAAACCTTTAAATCTAATATCATATATATGCCATTTAAAGTCTTTTCTTGGAGCTAGGAGTATAGCTCAGTGGTAGAGTATGCTTAGCATATGTGAGGCCCTAGGTCCAATGCCCAGCACTCTCCACTTAATTCAAAATTCTGTAGTCAAGTCCTATTTATCTTTTTTTTTTTTTTGGTACCAGGGATCGAACTCAGGACCTTGTGCTTGGCAGGCAGGTATGGCGCCACTGAGCTAAATCCCCGGCCCAAGTCCTATTTATCTTACTTCTACAATGATATCCACGGTAGAGCCACTAATATTTCCAAAATTTAAAAAATGAGGAAAAGCAGAATGAAAAATTACATATATAATTGTTCACAAAAAGAAAAAAAAAAAAAAAAAGACAGGGAAGAGATCACTTCTAGTAACAAGGACTGTATTCTTTTTCTTGTTTTTTTGGTACTGGGGATCCAACTCGGGACCTTGAGCTTGCGAGGCAGGCAGTGGAACCACTGAGCTAAATCCTGGGCCCACAAGGACTATATCTATGATTTAATAGGTGCTCAATAAACAATTATAAAAGGACTGAAAGGAAATATATAAAAGTGCACTCCCAGATGGGTGACACAGAAATACGATCTTTCATCTTTATCTTTTCATGTTTTTATGTTAAGAATATATTACTTTGATAATCAGGGAAGTTACTGTATCAAACTGAAATTTCTCAAAACTATGAAAACAGATTCATTATCTTTCTTATATACAGATGCTCCTCAACTTATGATGAGGTTACATTCCATAAATCCATCAAAATTAGAAAATATTATAAGTCAAAATGCGTAAGTACACCTAAACCATTAAACACCCTAGCTTAGCAACACCACACACTATAGAGGTACAGCTGTTTTCTCTTATAATGGTAGACTGACTGGGAGCTGCTGCTTGCTGCCACTGCTCAGCATCACAAGAGAGTAGTGAAAAGCATTCTGATGGCCTGGGAAAAGATCACACTTCCAGATATGAATCTACTGAATGCATAACACTTTTGCATCATTGTAAAGTCAAAAGGTTATAAGGTGAATTATCCTAAGCTGGGGACTATCTCTGTATGGCAATTTTTTAGCTACCCCTCTTAACCCTATTTTCTTTATTCTTGGTTTTTAAAGACAGGGTCTTGCTATGTATTTCAGGCTGGCCTTGAACTCACTATGTAGTTCAGGCTGGCCTCAAACTCACATCAATCCTCCTGCTTCAGCCTTCCAAGTCCTAGGATTACAGGTGTGTGCCACCATGCCCAGCAGTTTCTCCATTCTTTTTTTTGGTACTGGGGATCGAACTCGGGACCTTGTGCTTACCAGACAGGCAGGTGGCGGCACCACTGAGCTAAATCCCCGGCCCCAGTTTCTCCATTCTTGAAAACACTTTGTTTTTAAATAGTAAATGAATCTTTCTTAAATATCCACTCATATATTTCTTATGTAAGTGTATTTTTCTTTTATTTACTTTCAGTACTGTATTATCTCTACATAATGAGTATCAACTTCTTTATTCTTACAACCTATATCCAACCTCATTTCCCGTGAATTTCCAAACTAAATAGCTCACAGTCCCATGAATGTTAATGGGGCCATTCATTTTTCTGGTCTTAGTTCTATTTTTTAAGAATGTAATAGAATATTTGGCCTTGTGCCTACTGAAACACAGTGGAAGCTTAGCTTCTTCTGTGAGATCTCTTAGAATATTCTGTCTTAAATAGCTTTTTACTTTTATTCCTTATAGTTCCAAATCTATTCCATGTGATTGACCACATTAAGTCTCAGAGTTCTTGGTATCAGATAATTTATAGCTTTCTAACATCAACTAAGCCTGTAAATGCCTTCAGATCAAGAAATCTGATTTATACTATACTTATTTTGTTGTCTCCACTTTCTGCCTTTGGACATTCATCAAAATACTCATTAAAAGGAAAACACTTGAAAACCAATGACTACATAACATGCTGCAAGCAGGTAGCAATCAAGCCTTCTAATTTAGTTTTTCTAACTTTTCACAGCAAATTCCAAAATATCCTATATATTTCCATTTAAAAATAAATATTGCTAACACCATTGGGCAAGTAAGACATATGGCAATATAGAATGCTTTGGTAGCACTATGGCTGTGACTTAAATTACTGTGGATCAAACTGCCAGAAGCTGAGAAGATAACTGAATTTTCCTCTTCCTTTATCCTCCAGTGAGGATGGAAGATAACTGTATCATGCCTATCGATGAAAATATTTAACAATAAAAAACTGAAAACACTTCTTTATAACTTAAATAATATAGTCTTACTACCAAATGTTTTAGTCATAGGATCTCTTGGAAGCTTGAATGGAAGCAAACTTTAGGGTTTTAATTATGGATGAAGCCACACAATTCTGGAAGAAGCAAAGTATAGCAAGCAGCCAAAAATGTTACACATATGATTTTACTCCAAATGGGCACATTGGCCAAATGGTGAGGCCCTGCGCAATCATAGACTTTGACCACCTACTCTATAACCATCCAAAGGAATCTGGGAAATCTGTTATTATAGATAAGAATTCTGTGTGTTGACTGAGGCTCCAGTAAGGAAAAATCAAATTGTTCTTGTTTTTACAGTGCTCAATAGTTCTGAGTTAGATCTAAACATATTACAGGCACTGTAAGGTCTTTTAAGATATCCCTTCAAATAAAAGATGGAAAGTGGAAAGATAAATCTTTTATTTTTACTTCTTGAACAAAGATAACCTTAATGTTTTTTCTATAGCCATTGATTTTCTAGTTGATTGAATATGTTTAGCATATGCTGACTTCATTTTTTTCATTTAAAATGAAAATATTGGGCCTGGGATTTAGCTCAGTGGTTCTAGCGCCTGCCTCGCAAGCGCAAGGTCCCGAGTTTGGTCCCCGGTACCAAAAGAAAAAAGAAAAAAAATAAGTAAATAAAATAAAATGAGAATATGGATCAGTGCTATTTATCTAATTAATATGGGTTTAAAAATAAGATGTTGTCTGGTATGGTAGTGCATACCAATAATTCTGGCATTCTGAGAGGCTGAAGCAGGAGGATTACAAGTTCAGGCCTAGCCTGTGAACTTAGTAATTCAGTAAGACTCTATCTCAAAATAATATACAAATAAAGTACTAGGGATGTAGCTCTGTGTGAAGGTCCTGGGTTCAACCCCCATTACTGAAAAAAAAAGAAAGATATTGTCTCACTATTCTACTTATTATTCTAAACAAAAACTATATAAATCAAAATCATAAAATTCATGTAATACATTTTCAGAAAGGTGGGAAAAATCTCAATACATAAACCATGGAAACTTACCTTTAAGAGGCTAAGATTCCTTTGGAAAGCAGTCTCAGCTGCTTGCAGCTGAGATACCTTTTCTGTGTTTTGATCTCCAAATTTATTCTCCATTTGTTGAAGTAACATTAATCTTTGTGATACTCTAGAAAAGAGTGGAGATTAAAGTGAAAAAATATTAAAAGCAAACATTTTATTGCCTGACCAATATACAAAATTCATTCTTTTATTGCTTTTCACTTTGACTGTAACCTGTTTTAAAAGCTAATTACTATGTCAACTGATAAGACAATGAAAAACTTATGTAGTTCACTAAGTCTTAAGCCCTGTGGTGGCAAACCTATGGCCTGAGTTATTGTGCCTTTCTTTTAAGACAAAAGATGTTAATGTATGAATTGTTTTTTTCTAAATTGAAACCTCAGTATTCAGGCTTAATTGCAGTGTTGGCACTTCATGATAAATTAAGTGGGTTTTGGGTTGCAGTTTGTCTCTAAAAGGTTAGCCATCACTATCTTAAGTTAATCTAGGTAAAATTAATTCACTTTCATTAACATTCTTTATACATGCCATAAGTACATGCTTCTGTTCTTTAGCCTCTGTGGTCTTTGGAAATTATTTTAAAATGCTGAAGATACGTTTTAATTTTTGGTGAAAATGCAAACTGCAATACATATCTCCTTGTACACATAGTTATATATACCTCCCCACACACATACATTGATATAACTTGCTATATGAAACCTTCTGCTTAACACTTCAGTACCCCTGAATCTCATGTTACACATTTAGAATTGTGCTAAACTTCCATATGTTTGAAGAAGCAATAAAAATATTTTTTCCTTTTTTTCCAAGAGAAAGATGATAGTTTGATATATGAGTGAGAGGCAATGTGTATATATATATACTGTACATGTTCACAAGAAGGTAAAACATTAACTGAAGAGAGATGCAAAAAGTTATAAGTGAATTTTAAACTACTTTAGGATATATAATACACTTCAAAAGTGTCTTGCAGGTCAAATGCTTGTTTTACACGTTTATGGATTTTTTGGAATGCTAAATAAGAAAACTTGTTAAATGATGAAAAATACACCAATGTTATATATAAGTTTAACCCCTTCCCTGATAATTGTGAATGTTCTGGAGAAACACTGTCTCATATTGCCTTACAGGTACAACTAAAACTGATGTCTCAGACCTGTCATGTATTTCTATTTATTTTTATTTTATTTTTTTTTTTGTTATCAGGGATTGAACTCGGGTCCTTGCGCTTGCGCAGCAGGCGGTGAAACCACTGACCTAAATCCCCAGCCCCATCATGTATTTTTATAAGTAAGATATTTCAGAAGGCCAAGGAAGAGGGCCTGGTAATCAATTAAGGAAAAAACAAAGCCAGAAAACCTACAGACAGAGGAGGAAAAAGACTGATATTAAGTGCAGGAACATAACTAGCTACACAATTTTCAGAACCTGGGACAAAATGATTGAAGACTGACATTACAGCTTTAAACCAAGTGTGGGGGCCTGTGACTGTGGAGGTCACACACCCATGAACACGATGCTAGCAATGAATAAGAGATTTACAGAAGTCCACTAAATATCATTGGGGGACCTGAAAGTGTGAGAGGAAAGAGAAATTTATCTAGCAATTAGTAACAAAATGTAAGGTGATAAGAGACACTGAAATACCCTCTATGACAATCTCAAGCATCAGAAAGTGAAAATGACACACTTTCAAATTTTTGTCTTCTCAGTGCAAATATCTCAGCAATGAAACCAGTACAACCTCTCTGTTAGGATTATGCTTTTTAAAAACTTACATTTCTTCATGTCTTTTAGAAAGGCAAATTTCTTCAGTGAACAAGGAGGACATCTTCAATCAAAGCTTTTATAAACTTTCTGGTAAATAATAAAACATTTGAAGTTATTGTACCACATGTGCTCAACTTTGCATTATCCGATCATTTTGTACTTGAGTCCATTGGTATTCTGAGAAGCGAAAATAAACCCTAAAAGGTAATAATGCATAAAATCAAAGACTACATTTAAAGACATTTACCATCCATGGTTTTTAATATGCCATGTTCATCCAAGAACACCACAAATCAGGTAAACTCAACATATTTCACATTTCCCCCTCTTTTTCCCAGAAACCAACCTTAATCAGAACTAAAAACAAACAAGCAGCTGGTACTAAGACTAGTGAACATTTTATTGTATCAACAGACAGAAAAAAATCCACTCTGTAAAATTCAACACAGGAACACCATCTCTCTTGCGTGTGCACACACACACAGACAGAAAGGCAAACAAGTATGAGAACCAACTGGAAACTCATGGTCTTTCTTTTATTGGAAGACTGCCCAGCTCTACCATCTCTCTTCCAAACAGAAAAGTATTTTCCCTGTGTAACTGCGAGGAAAAGCACAATGGAGTGCCTGCACCTCACCCTGCCTCGCAGCACTCTCTGGGAGAGTTAGG